GTATGTTATTCCTAGGATTCTTTATATACTTTATCATATGCCTAATCTCGTTAAAGTAAAAGACTATAGAGTTTTATTAAACCTTAAGTAATAAAGATCTCTTAAGAATATTGTTGACTAAGATAATATTAACTTTAATTAATATCTTCTATCTAGTATAGAGTAAATCTACGACTATATCTCTAAGACTTTTGGTAGAATTCTACTATAGATTCCTAAAGATTAATAGGATAATCTATACTTTCCTTAGTATAATATTCTATAGTATAAATTATGATAGTATATTGACCAAAAAGCTTAGCTAAAGCTTATACTTCTTCCATCAATATTAGAAGGTAAACAATATATTCGGTAATTCTTTAAATAGAATGAAATAGAGTTAACTAGCCTTAATGTTGAATCAGAGGCTGAAGAAGAGACTATCTTAAACTATATCTAAAGAAATAGCTAGTAACTTGGTTGTTCTTATCTAATCATACTTAATCTATATTAGTTATATCTAATATGTCAAAATTCTCTTCCACTTAATCATCTTTAAACCCTAATATATTCTGATGACTTTGCTTCCTTTTAAGACTATAATTAGTCTAGCATATACTTATCTTAAATATAATCGATTCCTTCTTAACAATACTTTACTATACTATTGGTTCGTCTTCTTTAAATATTAGGGTAATTCTAATTTTAGCCTTGATCTTTTTAGCTATGATCTTCTCTTTACTATTATCTCTTTAGATAGCTTCCTTTTTTATATAAGGGTTTGACTTCAATCCTACTTTCTTAGCTTTGACTTTTGCTTTATTGACACTTATAGATACTATATTTGCTGTTAACCTACTTTACCTCTTATATTTAGCTTTATTTATACTTTTTTGTAAGCTATCATTATTGATCTCTGATATAGAATCTTATATATTATCGTCTAGTTTCTCTAAGCCCTTAGCCTTAGGTTTTCTATATTATAGGATTGGAATTTCCTTCTTTATAATAAATTGTAGAAAATAAGAAGGCTATTTATAATCTTTATAAGCTAAATTAAGTACCTTTTGAAGCGATTTAAGCTTAGTCACTTTTATACCAAAGTATGTGACACTTGGACTGCCTTCAACAGTCACTTTTGCCACTAAAGTCTATTGTTCTTTTAAAACCTTCTCTTTAATATTGAATGATTGGAATAGTATAGAGTAAAACTGCTTAAAGCTATTATATATATAGTCGAGTATAATTATATAGGCTTCGAATTTCTTATATGTTTATATAAGATGGTATTTCTTATATGGAAATCCTTAACCTAACTAGTAGAAATCTGCTGAGTATAAATAAAGTCTGACTTATACTATAAGCGATCATACAGTCTTCTTTATCTCTTATATACTCTATAGACGGTCCTCATTGGCTATTCTAAGCGATTCTTCAATAGTCAAAGGTATAGAAGATATGGGAGTTGTCAACTTAGGATAGTTTGTTTGTATATAACGTATTTTATAGATAGGTTGAAGAGGTATAGTTCATTTAGGCGATAAAGTAAGATTATATATGATAGGTAACGGAAGTATATACTAAGGGTAGATAGAAAAACTTAGATTTTTGCTTACAATAGTAGAATAAGACTTATTTACTTTTATATAAGGACATTTGTCCTTATAAGCTAGGATATCTTTATTATCATTCATTATATAGATGCTTAGGAATCTATGCGATTCTATACAACTTTGAAAAATCATGTATATTCGTATATAGCTTAAAATCCAACCTATATAATATAGTTCTAGGGCTAATCATTATAGTAATATCATCCTCTAAATTAATTGCGTCTATTTTTTATTGAACAACTGAATACTATTGGCTTAAAGTACGTATACCCTGGTACTGTGGGGTGAATGCATTGACAAAAAATGATTTTGGCACAGTTCGCCTTATCGCCTTCCGTATACACTACCAGCCGGTACCTTGCCTAAGGCGGACTCGTAGCGCACATTAAGGTATCGGCAGGTGTCCTCGAGGCGGAGCTGTCCCAACACTCCTATTCTAACCTACCAAACCACACATATGCATCATACCCTTACTTTTGGTGCACTCCCGTCAACCTAGACGTTGACGATACAAGTCATGCATACAGTACGGTGCTGTGAATCGAGACGACATGAAGCGGTGCGGCTGTTTCTGACTAACGATGGTACGGGTATCCATCCCAACGTAGCGATCGCGGCTAGTTGTCCCATTCTTTAACGTTATCCTTTTGCAAGTCCGTCATTGTCTGTGTCAATTTACTTATTTCGCTTTAATTGACCCCTGTCCTGACCGAATGCTCCCAGAGCCGTGTCACCACCTCGCCTTCGACGTTTGACGGCGCATCCTTGCCACTGCCGCAACCAGTCGCTCAGACTCACCTCGAAGGTGGTCAGGGATGCCTAGCACCCGACATCAGAGGCTGAGAAGGTATGCAGGGTTCCCGGTACAGACCGAACAAGCCCTGTCATGGTTCTGTCATATCCTGACCTTCCCCGTCGACAGCGCTGTGACGGTTTGTCCTACGGCGATCACACGTGATGGTTGGCTACGCTGCTCAGAAAGGTCACCGTCGATACTGGCTCCGCGGGCTACTGTCGCGATCGCTGCGCTCTCAGTGGTTGTCACTCCTGGGCCTTGCCTTCCTATTGAGGCAGCTTTGGCAAAACGTTGGGGCCTAGAGCGTCATGCCATGACGGTGTTCGCACACCACAACGGCATTTGTTCTACTGTCAAGGGAAGATATGCATCGAGATACATCATCTCTGTATATCCTCCCCCACCCAACTTCATCTCCTAGAATCCTCTCGTGCGGACTGATGTTTGATCTGGTGGTTCGTCGGTCAATCGTAACGATGGCGTCAAGCGGTCGAGATCATCGACTGGCCAGATGTCCCCTTTAAAGACTCTATGAGGGGTGATGTTGATCGACAGGATGCCATTCTCAGGCTCGCATCTGGATGCAAGGGCAACACCTCCCGGGACTTGTTTGCAAGAAGCCTCCATTCACATAGCGATTCCATGATAGTGAGGCCCCAGTATACTGCCTGATCCCAGGCGCTCAACGTCATATACAGGGTTAGGGTTAGGAGTGACACTCGCTCGTTGCGGTCTCAAATCCCTCAGCAGCAGCATCATGCTCTCAGCTCCCCTTATGTGGATTTGTTTGTTTGCAATGTTCTGTTTATTGGCCTTGTATTGCCAATCAGGTGATACTTTTCATATCACTACACCCTTCTCGCTGGTTTTGTGCCTCGTCTTCAATCCCATTCTGTTTGTCTCCTGGGGAGCACCAGCATTTTCAAATAGCTTGTGTACCAGTATGGGCTAATATCTACACTTGAGCACTGACATAGGAGTGTTGCCTCGAAATTGTCCGCGGAAGACATCAAATGCCCCTGATTGTCACAGATCTTCAAGCTTTTGCCAAGTCGGCTTCAGTATAACAAAACCACTCATGCTCCTCCAGCCGCGAAGCGCCGCAGACAACACAAAGGCAAAGCCTGTGTTTGCGAGTTGCCTGCCAGATATCACAGGATTTCAAAAGGCTTCTGGGTGCTATCGATCCGTCCTCGCCTGCTCTTCCGCAATTAATAACCGACGAACCATAGGATGTACTCATCACCGAGCTTCCACCTTGAGCAAAGATCGCTGACAGATTGAGTGGAACACTGGGGTTATGGTTAAACAACAGGCCCACTCCTCATCAGGAACCCCAACCAGACAGCTGCATGTGCCCCTTACGAAATGATCCGAGCCTACCAATATCCATCCGGCTAAATTCTGCAGTGGGAAAAGCAGACGATTTTGCGGCGCCGTTTGCTGACAGCACATCATGTTCCAAGGTCCGGAGTTTGGTACGATCGAAATTCTTCGCATCTCTAAGCATATTCACCAACTTCGCGGATGCGGCACCGTTCACACGTCGTGCTATAGGCTAGCAAAGGTCCGATTACCTCCCTTCTACAATCGAGTTGCCGTCGTACACGGACCGAACCCCCCCTCAACCTAATATGGCAGCCTGTTGAATATTAAGGGTTGAAGGATGTTTTGCTGGAACACTGGCATTTCGGCGGGTTCTTTACCTGTGTCCGAGCCGTCTCGGCTAGGAGGAGTTCAAATATGATATTGTATATAGGAACTAGTACTGGAGTCAATCTCAAATACTCTCTAGTCTCTTGTGTCCTGCTACTCGTTGTGCAATTGCTGGCAGACAATCCAGTCAAACTTGAATCTCACTTGACATTGCAACCTCGAGACAGTCAGCCAAGATGGTCGGCGCAGCTGGTGGCTCAGACAATATCCTCCATCGGATGGCGATGGAGGATCCTGTCCCATGGTACAGGAAACCGAATTTGAGGAGTCTTTATTTGTTGCTCTTTCCATGTGTCATTGGCATCGAAATGACCTCAGGTTTTGATTCTCAGATCATCAATGCCGTCCAAATCGTCCCTCAATGGAAAGAATGTGTGTGAATCTCCCTCCGATCTATAATTGGCTCTCTCTTATATGTGTTACTTGCCGACAGACTTCCACCATCCAACTGGCGGCTACCAAGGCATTCTCGCATCTGTTCTGCCCCTTGGTGCATGTCTCGGTCTCCCTTGGATCCCATTCATCAATGATCGCTTTGGTCGAAGATGGTGTATTATGTTTGGATCTGTCCTCATGGTTATTGGGTCACTACTTCAGGGCTTCTCAATCAACGGTGAGTGGCGCTGGCAATCGAGCCTGGCTGGGGAATGCAGCTGATCAGACACACAGCACCCATGTACATCATTGCTCGAGGAATTATCGGGTTTGGCCTTCCATATGCCATCGTCGCAGGTTCATGTCTGATTGGAGAGCTGGGATATCCTAAAGAACGACCGATTCTCACATCTCTTTACAATGCATGCTACTTCATCGGTAGCATCATTGGGGCGGGTATCACGTTCGGAACGCAACATATTCCAGGTAACTGGTCATGGAGAATCCCGTCTCTGCTCCAGATGGCGCCTTCTCTTCTGCAAATTGCCTTTGTGTTCTTCCTGCCAGAGTCTCCACGATTCCTGATGAGCAAGGACCGCCATGAGGAAGCGAGCCGAATCCTGATCAAGTATCACGGTGAAGGCAATGCAGACTCAGACTTCGTCAAGGCTGAGATTGCCGAGGTGAAGACGACTATTGCTCTTGAGATGGAGCAGTCCAAGCGGTCCTGGCTCGACATGCTCCGAACTGCCGGAATGCGACGCCGTGTACTCATCGGATCACTCCTCGGAGTTTTCACTCAATTGTCGGGCAATGTAGTCATCAGCTACTACCTTGGTGATTGCCTCAAGCTTATCGGCTATACCAACTCCGATTTCCAAGCCAAGTATAATCTTGGAAAAGAATGCTTCAACTTGGTCTGCGCAGTGACCATCGCCCTTTTCGTCATGAAGTTCAAGCGGCGAACTATGTACATGACGGGCATCCTTGGTATCCTCGCCGTGTACATTGCTTGGACTATTTGCTCCGCTATTTTCACCGAAACTGGGAATCGAGTCGCTGCCAAATTTTCACTATTCTGGATCTACGCCTACCAGCCCATGTACAACATATCATTCAATGCCATGACATACAGCAAGTCGACCCGTTGAGAATCTCTAGTGCAGTTACATGCTAATTCATAAACAGCGTACCTTGTTGAACTCTTCCCCTTCGCGACCCGAGCACGCGGTATTGCCATCTTCCAGTTCTTTGGCAAGGCTGCCCAGTTCTTTGGCACGAACGTCAACCCTATTGGTAAGTTTTGAGGGCCATATATTATGAATTGGTCATATACTCACCCATTAAACAGGCTTCGACAGCATCGGCTGGAAATGGCTCCTCGTGTACTGCTGCTGGATCTTTGTGGAAGCCGTCTTGATATGGTTCTTGTGGCCGGAAACTTCTGGGCGAACTTTAGAAGAACTTGCCTTCCGTAGGTTCTCGCCTGTTTTCCACAACTCGCTAATGACTAATCTGTATAATAGTTTTCGAGGACGAGGAGCTTGCTCACCGGACCACGGCTGCCGTGGAGAAGCAGATCCATGGAGAGGAACTTGGCAATCCCAATACTACTGCGGAACACAGGGAGGCCTAAGTACGCCGACTTCCGCGCCGATACAAGAGGTTTTGAGAGCCCCGGTAGGCGCAGAGATGTGCGGATTTATGTACGCGACACTGCATATGACCGCTAGAGTCTGCGAGACACGATTTCACAGTGTTGTGCCAGTGCCAATATCGATCATGTAAGAGGTTGGAGAAAACATTACCATAGAACCACCGCTGAGCCAGTTCTTTGACAGTTGCGCTAAATATATTGACTTGTAAAGAGATCAATGGCTCAGTCATGTGTCATTAATATGATTTCAAGTCACTCCAGTCCTGTAATCATGTAGGACACCGTGTCCGACCTATCGCAGCATGTCTTAATGCCTTCTCCCGAAATACTTTTCATATCTGCCATGATGGTATTTTCTTGAGCATGTTTCTTCCGGCGGCTGAGGAAGAAGATCAATCTTTTTTGTAATGTCACAGTCGAGGACCATTGATGTACAGGTTATTTTTATAGTAACTTGTCAAATATAACAAGCTGTATGGTAATCCACGAAGACTTCTACGTCGCGAGGGGGGATGAACGGGTGTTATGCCGGGCACGAGTGGCTCACGTCAACAATCGACCAAATACCGTGCCAATCTATATATTATCGATATTTGCGCCACCAAACATGCCGATTAATGGCCATAGCATAGCCAGACATCACAAGCAGTAAAAATATTCAACATCGAATCTAGAAAGAGCCCGAAAAAAAAATTGATGTGACATCGGGAATTGAGCCCGACGTGGGGGTCGAACCCACAACCTTGAGATGGTCTCTCAGACACCTCGAGATTTTCTCTCTGTATAAGAGTCTCACGCTCTACCGCTGTAAAGGCTGTCAGTACAAATCCATGTATTGTTGACGAAGATTTTCTCTCTTACATTGAGCTAGCCGGGCTATGTCTTGGTTGATTAGAATCCTCAGGCCATTTTTTTGATTCATGAATGGGCTGCAAATTTTTCGCTCGTCTGCACGGGAGCAAAGCCCTTGTACCATAGTATGTCGAGTCAGAAATGGGCGGTCGAGGCTTTTTTAAGTAAGCCGTGTGGGTTTCAGTGGGTATGTATGGTGGCTTGCCGCTAAATCGACCAGGGCTACGGTGCCTTGCCCGAACCAGCTTCGTCACGTCCAGGGTCGTCAACCCCTCAGCACTTATGCCAACGGTCCGGGACGGACGGAGCGAATGGCAACAGACCGCCCGGCAACGTGAACAAATGCACATCTGTCACAATCTGCACGTCTTCCTGATGCTCCTCCCGCGACGGCCTCGGTGAAGATTGGATATCCCCCGGAAGGAAGCGATTAGTGCTCGCCCAACCCGCTCGATCGGATATGGTGTCCGGTGGCAGGAGACACTACCCATTGACAGGGACCGATCAACGAGTATATAGGTGAGGGTAAGGAAGGAGATGCGTCATGGCCGCGAGGGCAAGTGCTCTCTTTGCCGCATGCTCGACTGAAGCCATTGAGTATCACTCGTCCTCCCCCTTCTCCTCCTCTGCAGCCTCAGCCTCCGCCCTGTCCGCGATGGTCTCTCTCGCCAGTCTTGCGCTGCTATGCGCCAGCGTCCTGCCATCATCCCTGGCCCTGAACATGACCGTCTATCAGACCAACACCACCATTGCGCCCTCACCGCTACCGCCACCCGGCTCCTCATCGCAGGGCGAGGAGATCGTCCGGCAGTTCACGCAGCTGTCACGTTCGTCCAAGTGGACACTGGTCGAGAGCGTGCCCTTTGAGGGCGACACGTTCGAACCCGAGGGCATCGTGCGCGTCGGCGACGACCGCTACTTCGTGTCCGCCGGCGAGTACACCGAGGCGACGAAGAAGTACAACAACAGCGCCGTCATCAACGGCACCGACCGCACCGCCGGCGCCGGCTTCGGCCACCTGATCGTCTTCTCCGGCTCCGGGCGGCGCATCGCCGACGCCACGCTGACGCCGGCGGGCGAGGTCGAGTACCACAACGGCGGCATCGACTACGACGGCACCTACATCTGGGCGACGCTGGCGCAGTACCGGCCCAACTCGACGGCGACGCTCGTCCGCATCGACCCGGCCACGCTGGAGCCGGAGCCGCTCGCGCACATTGCCGACCACCAGGGCGGCGCAATCCACGACCTCAGCACGGGCACCGTCCTGACGCTCAACTGGGGCAGCCGGGTGGCGTCGCTGTGGAATCTGAACTACAAGTTCTCCACGCCACCTTCTTTCACCACTCCCCGGGCCGTGATCAAGAATCCAAGCCATTATACCGATTATCAAGACTGTAAATTCCTGGGCCACAGCCAGACGTATGCGTTCAAGCCCGTCATGATGTGTGGTGGCATCACGGGAATCTACAACACGACCATCGGCGGGCTCGCAGTTGTAGATATGGAGACTATGGTACCCCTCTACGAAGTACCCCTGACTATGGTCTCTGACGGGGGTAACCTGGTCACCAAGAACCCCATGGATGTGGCTATCGTGAATGGCAAGATGAGGCTTTATTTCCTACCTGATGAGAGGAACTCGACTCTATATGTCTACGAAGTATCGCCCTGAACGTGGATCAATGAAATAGCGAGGTCGGCCTAGGATATTTGTACATAAGCTCGGCTGCTTCGGGAAGACCTTGAATGAAATATCTTGTGTCACTAGATGTTTTATTCTTTAACTACAAGTAGCTAGAGATACCTGCTCGCGCAGTAAAGATATTTGCCTATCCCCATGATTTGAGGAGAAGAGGAAGAGGTGTTTTTATGTACGCACAACTCCGTGGTGTAAATGCTTGGAACCTTCCTGCCGGCAAGAAAATAGTCCAAAGAAGCCTCCCATTCATTTTGGCGAGCATCAAGCTCAAGTGAGGTCCAGCCAACGAGTGTGTTTGCCAAAAAAAAATATGAAGAGACAAGAAGCGAAATAAAAGTCCATGTTATTGTACCATCAGGTCGTCATACCAGCCGCGGTTCCCACATCATTTCATAAATCCATCCCGGCGTGTCTCGGCCGTCGCAATAAAAATGGGTATATCGAAGAAATAGAAAAAGATACCAGAAAATATGGATACATTTCACCAGATGATCCTCGTGACGCGTGTCTTCAGGTCCGGGCTCCCGGCCGGTAATCCTCGGCTGCCGCATTGCAGAACAGCCGTGCGTTCACGAAGATCGAATTCGGCAGCCCTGACCATCACCCGTTTCTCCACGGGTACTTCCTTCTGCTGAGCTCTGCTAGCAAGATTGGGCGCCTGGTTTTCCCTTCGAGCATCCCACCGTGCATTGCCGCCGGGGCCCAGGGGAATGTTCTCTCCAAAGTCTATGGAGGCATTAGCTTGCCTTGGTCTGGGCGAGCTACCACTCGTGGAGGGACGTGGGCCCTTGATGTCACTGATGGTCTGGGGACTATCTCCTGGCGTCATCAAGGCCTCTTCCTCCTCGATTTCCACGATCCACATGCCAATGCGTGAGGTGAGCTCGCTGTCCCACATGCCCTCTCGCCTGGAGCTGCTTCTCAATAGCTGGATAGCCTGCCGCCTTATCAGAGGATTCCTGCATTTCGTAGCAACTACATAGAGCGGAGGGACAATGCCCAAGTCGGCGCTAAAGCTGGGCTTGATGTGGTTCGCGGTATACTCGCGACCGCCAAAGATATCCAGCTGGTGGTTCTTGTGGTGCTGGCACGTCTTAGGATTGGGGCATCTCTTCTCTGCTGCCCTTCTCTCCTCATCACCGACTACCTCGAGAGCAAGGTCGACGATGGCCTTGAACTGTGGCTGGAAAACATCGAACTGGCCCTCGCTGTCACTGAAGGTCATCAGGAAGAGAATCTGGCCCATTATCTGGAACATTTTGAGCACAGCGATACCCGCCTTCTCCTGACTGTTCACGCCAGGCGCGGTTCTAGATGAGAGGATATGCTCGAAAGCGTCTGACCACGCTTGTATCTGGCCCTTGAAACCAACTCCATACTGCCTTAGTGATGAGGGTAAGACACCCATTGGGCCATTTGCATTGGCGTAGGAGAATAGAGTCTCGGTAAACCGGAAAATTTTCTCACAGAGAGTGTCCCATGCCAAGCGGGCTTCTAGGAGAGATGAAAACTGGTCTGGTATAGGATCCTGGTGCAGAGATACAGGAGAACCACCCTCAGAAGGTGGGGATGAGGGATCAGATGATGGCGGAATTAGTTGAATTACGTATGGTTTGGGGAAGTGAAAAGCCATGTCATAGGACTTTGCTTGAATGGCTAGGCGGGTGAACATCTGAATGAGTTCATCCTCGACCGGCTCTTCCGGTTTTGGCAAGAACGCACGTCTCCTCTGCGCACGCAATTGCTCCAGAAGAGCCAGCCCGTTCTGGATCTGTACAATGGCTTGCTTGTGGTCTCCGATGAAGGAGTCAAAGCAGGCAAGCAGGACGCTGGCCATCAGCCTCGTTCGGTTTGTCCTCGAATCCTGGCCCCCAACATTGACCAGAGCATTGCAGGCATTCGAATACTGCTTTACAGCTACCTCCCAATGCTGGTAGGGGTTATCTACCGGGTCGATATTGTCACAAGGTGAGCTCGGAGGAGATTCCGTAGACTTCTCCAAGGTCTTATACAAGGCGCCCAGCGCAACAACAGCATGTCTAATAGCATCTTCGGAGTGACATTCCTGCAGGACAGTACGTGACCAGAAGACAGAATCGAAGTAGCCGGATAACTCATTCGCCGTGTGTGTCTGGAATAGCTGGAAGTACAAACCCTCCTGTTGGTCAAGGGGAAGTGTGCTGGGCCTGTATAAAATCATCGAGCTCTGTTGTATGACCGGTGTTGTGGGTGGCGTAGTCCGCTTCTGGTACTTCACAAGGCGACGGGGAGGAACCTGAACGGGTTGGCTTGTGGCCGCGGGCTTCGCGGCCAGGCCTCCTGAGATGGGCTTTGGTGCTATTCGGATCTCTTCGTGAGGTCTTGCGCTACGCGCGGGTGGCGGATAGCCCGTGCATATCTTCTTGGAGCGGACGCATTGGGAACTATCTTGGTGTTAGTCCAGAGCAGTTGTTGTGCGGTGCAGGGAAGTGCTACTTACCACGAGGGGCGCTTCTCGTCGCACTTGATCCTTCGTTGTCTGCAGCGACCATATTATTAGTTATTTGCCTCAACATAGACTTGCGCAAGGGCGGCGATCGAGCGAATTGACGTACTTGCAGTTGTTGCAGCCTGTCTTGACCTTGGGTTTACTCGTCCTGGCGCGTTTCGGTTTGGAGTCGGCAGAGGAGGAAGCGGCGGTAGAACCCGGGGACGAGGGGCCGCCTGAGCGGCTAGTTTCTGGAGCCATGGTGAACAGAGCTCGGAGTTGGTTAATTGGCTGGAGAGGGAGTGCCGGTCGCCGCTCGATTCATGGCCGGGAGTAAGGCGCAGAGAGGCAGGCGAGGTGAGAACCTCGACCAGGTCGGAGGCAGCTCAGGAGAGCTCACAATATTCGATTGTGTTGTGAAATGCTTTGCTGTGCCGTCCGTCCAGACCTGTGGCGGCGGGGGATAGAGATGGTGGTGGTGGGGAGGGGCGCAAGGCTCTGGAAGTGTAAGTTCGTTGGTGCTAGAGAAATCCGTTAGTGGGCCTAGCACAGACAAAGACAAAAAAACGGTCTGGACGGGACGAACTGTGAGGCATACACACCCCGCACGCTCTTTCCCTTCTTCGCTATGGTGGTGCTGGAAGAAGGAGGAATAAACTTTGGATATTGTCTTCGAAGCGGGTTGGAGAGTAGCAATAATTATGATATTAGAAGCGAATATGTATTAGAAATGTGTTTCTGTGTGCGCTGGCGCAGACTTGACGGTTCCGATGAGCGGCTCCCATACCAGGGGAGAAGGGCCGGGGACGACTGGACCGCGCTGGGGGGAGAGCACTAGTAAATAGTTTGCGAGGAGGGGGCCTGGTCCAGTATGCAGCACGTTCCAATGCGGGCTGAGGAGACGACCAGCTAACTACCTTTGTCTAGGTAGACAGTACGACGAAGGGTGTCGCCTCGTCTTGTACAGCAGTGGGCGGTGGTGGGAATAGGCGCTCTTGGTTCGGACTGGCTAGGTAGCTGGGTTGTCTCTTCACTTTAGAGCCTTGCGGATGGATGGCGATTATGTCTCAGTCACGAGAGAAGGGGAATAATCAACAATGTGAAAGCCGGATAAGGAGGTAATGCAGAGCCGGGTCAACCTGAGGTCTGAGGAGGGAAGGGGAGTGCCCGTCAGTTGTATAGTCTGCTGGTGTTGGTGAGGTCTGAGAGGTGTGGTAGGTCTTTTGTGCAAACAGGCTGGCTTGCACCTCGGTTTGTGTCGCCGCCGTGTGCCACCGACATCCAACACCGACCGCTTGATGGTAGGGGGAGGGAGCTGCGGGCGATGTATCTGACAAGTAGATTGAGGCTTCTACCTGGCCGTCATCTCGATCAAATGGGGAGGCCGTGCAGGGGTCACCGGGAGCAGGGGAGGGGCCTTGTTGGGTGGATGGGTGGGTAGTATACATACCGCTGTACGCCTTTACCGTGCAGCACAGTACGGTATTTGAAGTACTTCAGATAATATAGATAGATATGAAGGTAAACATGCAAGTAGAGGCAGGGCAAAGGAGGGCAGGGCAGGGCAGGGCAGGGAATTCGAGGTTTGGATAAGGATGGGAGGGCAATGCAGAGAGTAATATATGGTAGAGATTTGGGTGTTGTTACACCGTCCGGAGGCAACAGGCATTCATTCCATTTGCCATTTCCCTGAACCCGCATACCAGATCAATTCTTCTTTACTGCTGTCTTTTCCTTCTATCTATCTATCTATCTATCCTGCCTTGCTTGCATTGCCTTCCTTTGGGACCACGGCTACCCACGACTTACTGCGACAAAGACTCACAAGAGACAACACGAGAAACGAGGGAGGGGTCGCGCTAGTAAAACCAACATCCACTTTTGCACACATGAATATGTGATGCCGGCGGCCTGCGCCCAGCAGCATCTTCGTCAACACTAGGATGGTCTTGGCTCTAATGTTATGCTCTACATAGTTAGGTGGCCGATGTGGGTAAGTGAGTTTGGATCTTTACGATTAACGCCAGGTGAGAGTGTTAGGCTGGTTTCTCCCTGTCCTACCCCTAGATTTAGAAACCTGCTCTAGCTTTGAGTTGGCTACCTAGTGCTCTCTTCCAAGCTCTTGCCTACCTAGGTAGTTGTAGTATTAGTAGTCGTAGTGCTGGTGCTGTGCTCTGTCTTGTTCCCAGTCATCGTGTCATGGCTGCAGCACACGCATATGGGCAGAAGAGGGGGGTGCCACATGCTGCAAGGTTTCCTCCTAGGGTCTCACCAGGCGGTGCTCAGGCTGGCTGACTGCAGAATTGCGATTGGCTGGCCTAGCAAATCGACCGTCTGCGCCGGGCTCCCTCGCTGTTGCTACTCTCTCGTCTCCATCTGATCGACGACATCATTTGCCAAGCCGAACTTCCGGAAAGAGACTTGGGAGATGTTGGTGGATTCCGAGCCCACAAAGAGCTCTCCTGCAGTCCCCGCTGACGGTTGTGGTTTTATTGTGTTGGAGACGGGCAAAGTCCTTTTTCGGCATAATATATCGCATCGCAGGTCAGGTCAGGCAAGCGAGGCGGGTAACCCAGGCGGCAAGTCACATCTCGGGTTTCTCAACAAGCCAAATAAATGCAAGGTAGAGATATAGAGCAGCCGGGAGAGAACACGGCCGCAAGTAGTGCTGGTCAAGCGGGTCCGTAAACTCTTCCGACCCATTACAATGGCTTTCCCCCAGGCAGTCCAATACCAAGAGAAAAAAGAGAGAGGGAGAAAAGCCCCTCGTCTTTTGTTTTGCCAGAGGTTCAATTCTGGTAGAGCTCCGTGCTCAGAGAAGAACCCGCAAGCATGTTGACAACCATGGTACTTTCAACACGGCGCTCTTTGTGTCTCGGCCGCCTAATCTTGCCGGCGGAGCATAATTCCCCCTCAAATGCCCCTCAAATGCGTCCATTCCAGCCATCGTCAAGCTCACGGTTCACCGAGATGATCAGAGCTCAGCTCAACTCAGCTCAGCTCAAGGAACTGAAGCTTCACAATAACCGATACGGCGCACGGTACCTCATTTTCGTGTTGAGAAACTTGCGAGGTGGGCCTGTCAGGACGGGAGTGTGTTTCCGTCTCCCCAGACTCGTGAGGAGGCAAGCAATGAGTGTTCGACACGACTCCATCAACTGCGACGTAAGCTCCATGGATTCAATGCAGTCTACCTCATAGATACAAACATGAACGGATGATACAGCGGTGACAAGCAGAAGGGACCTTCTTGTCGCTTGCCTCGGACCCAGCATTTAATGAAGAGGAGTCGCGCCCCTCAGAAGAATGCAGGCCGCCACGACGATCTACACGTCCCGTCGCAACCTTCTCCGCAGCCCTATGCAGGTCTTCTTCCAACGGGGATGGATGCGTCTCGTTGTGTCTCACTCAACCTCTGCAGCCTGCATCTACCAACACATCCCTATAGTATACCAATGCCGACTTTTCAGGAAGCGTCCACTTGATCCCTATACCCATTTCCTAGCCTTCGACCTTGAAACATGCCGTCGACTTGGTGTCTTGACGGGCCGCTTCCGTGGGTGCGTGGCCTAGTAGTTCGACGACTAAGGGCGAACGGATTGGCTAGGGCCATGTACGTGATAGGCACTAGTCCCCTAGGTGTACCAACCGTTTTGGCCCTCCTCGAACAGGCCAAGACCCAAGAGTCCTTCTGGAATACCCACCACTTCAGCCCTACGGGCGCTCAGGATCTCAATCCTTCTGGGGGGCTCGCCGCGCGCCATTGGCCACTGCGACTCGGTCGGTCGTTGATGGGCAGACCATGACTGCAGCCAATTGCACCAAAGTCGCAGCGATTAATGACAAGGACGAGCGCGCATGGATGGGAAGCAATCAGCCGGGCAAGGCCTCCAAGTGGCCCATGGGCCAACCGTCCTGCCCACGTCGTCATGCAGCCATCTGCCACTCCTGCGACAGGACAGCAGTACAATCAGAGTACCGTGTGTGTGTTGTCAGCCCTACCTCGAGATCCGTCACGAGTCTCTGATTTGCGAAGGCACCCCTTCTCCCGGCCTGCGAGACTGAGTCGTCTGGCAGATCATGCCAGAGTCTTGGGCCCCGAACCCCACCGTTCTCCTTCCAATCACCTCGCTGGACGCCGTTGTCCCCCTTAAAGTCTAATCAACAACCCCTTTTATCCCATCACAGCTCTCCCGTTTTGGGCAATACACGACACGGACTCGAATTTGGCCGACCCCAACTTATCTCCTAGAAACAGCTTGGATCGGCTCGAACTCTAAATTTGGATCGAACGTTTCGCGATGCTTCCCAAGAGTTGTGGCGAGAGGCCTCAGTTACTCTACATTCACCGAAGTCCAAGGCAGATGCCAGCCTAATGCTGCAGAGGCCAGGAGCAGTAGCTATCTAATCGCTCCAGTTGAATCGGCAATATGGCATTTGCATGTGCAGCTCCTGGGTATGTGCTCGTGAGTCCTAGGTTCCAGCTCCCAGCTCCCAGCTACCGCTCTGAGCTCGCTTCTTTGCATGGGGGGCTCAAACCAGCGGTCAAGACATGTGTTGTCTTGTGTTAGCCGACCGACGATGTGGGACAGACATCCGTGACAGGGCGCTCTGGTGGGCTGCCTCGAAATGTTCCAAACCTTCTCGAAGGCAGGCTGCGCCACGATCGCTGCTGGGGGTGAGTTCGATTCGACGACCCTGCGCATCCCAAGTCGCCCGGCAGACCTACCCGTGATAGCCCCCCAAAATACATTCGCTTTCTCAACCACGCTTATCGCAGCGTCATGGCAAACACATTCCCTCGCCATCTCCTTGCTTGTGACCCACCAGCCACAGATACTACTGCCGGGTGTGGCCCAGGGTGAAGAGAGTTACCTAGTCTAGTGATGAGAGCGTGGCTTAGATCTTCAATTGTTTGTTGCCTGGCGCCGAATCGCCCGGTTCTCACTGGACATCATCGACCCCGCGCATTCCCGGGCGTCACGTTGCAGCTCTCTCCCCCATGGCAATTTCATCCCTGCTGGCCTCCACGTCGGGGGCTGTGCCTCTCTGTGCACCAGCAGTTGGGGCGCTCTGCGGCTTCTGCTGGTGGCCGGTGCTACTGGAGGCACCCGCATTTCGCTTGATCTGAGCGCCCCGGAGCCGCCGGTGTGGGTCGCCCTAACGCTGCAGGGAGCCCTGTAACCTGCCCGGGATTGATACACCTTGATACAACTGTGATGTCAACCAGGCCGCTCAATACCGTTCAGGCTGACCTCCTTGGATAATATACGTTCGTAATTATTATCTTAGCGAACGAGCGCGCACAAGGTATCTTGAACTTAGCCGATCGAAGTTTGGTCGGTTCGAGAGAACAAAAAACAAAGCACACAAGGTTCAGTCGGGCTTCAACCGCCCCGACTGCCGGTCTATCTGGTGTCACTTTCCCAATATGTCCTCGTCCCTCTTCTCGGCTCAACCTCCGGATAGTTGTGGCTTGTTTTCTATGATCTGACTCAGACGGACTCGCTCCGTCTGCATCCTTTTGCACGATCCTGGTAACCAGTAGAATTGCATACCGCTTGTGATCTGCCTCGGCAGTTTTTACTGTATATCCTAATCCTGTACAACATCAAAGCGCCTCTCGCTTGAACCAGACTCAAAGAATGTGCTACCCCAGCATCGTGTGCGTCGTGATGCGTCAGAAAAAGGCCCGAAAAGCTCATCTCATCGTCCGGATCGGCGGGACAGTTGGACCTGCGGGATGGGTCATTGTCGCCGATAAGTCCATAATGCTGCTTCTCTCCAACAGATGGTGCGGAGTTTTCGCCAAGATAGGTCACCGAGCGTTGCGCCAGAGCACATGCCTTTGTTCACAGAACCGTGGGGTAATGAACTTCTGTGTACTGGCTAGACTGAAGAGTCCTCGAATTCTTCTGAGAGGTGAAAACACTTGACTTTCATTCAGCCTTCCAGCCGCAGCTCGGTCAAGGGTATCTACGGCATAAGCTCGTTACCAGCAACACCAGCTATCTAACTAAAGGAAGATGCTGCCTCACCGAGCTCTCGAGTGTCTCAGCCTCATGACAACCTAAATGCGGTCTCCATGCGGCTCTTGACCTCCAACTGCACAGCAACTCGCGATTTACTCTACTTGCCTTGCTCCTTGTCCCATTTCTCCAATTCGTCTAACTGTTCCGCCAGGTACCCTCTCTCATCATCTTGATACTTCATGAACTTGCTCTGCTTCTCACTCATGCCCTCAATGATCTCGCGTGTCTCGTCGGCGAACTTCTTCGCGCCATCCCGTTTGCCCTGCTTCCAAAGACACCGAATGATGCACCGCCGCGTGCCCATAGCAGGCGGGCTGTCCTGACCTTCCAAACCCGGCAGGTTCTCCAGCCACGGCAGGACATGTCTAGCCAGCCTTTCAGCCTCCGGGTACTCTCCCCGCTCCTCTCTGATGCTGGCCATCATGTTCAGCGCCGAGTAGTTGGTCCCGCCCGGCTCCTGCGGGTTGTCGATCATAGTCTGGATCGCCTCCTCCTGCTCCGTGACCAGCCCCAGCTCCGAGAAGCACGCGATGCGGGCCACCATTATCTTTGACCATAGCCTGTAGTCTTCTTTGATGAGCACGTCTGCGTTCTTAGCAGCCAGGGAGGTGTTGAGCGTTTCGAGGAGGAACCGCAACTTGTCTTCCTTCGGCGCCGTGTTGAGGCGCTCGAAATCGGCAGCAATGCCGCCAAGCTCGTCAGGCGAGTAGCTTTGGAGGAAGTTGCGCCCTGTCGTGAACTTGAGATCGGACCAGAAGGGCGTTTCAGGAACATCATGGTCCCAGCCAAACTTTGGCGCCTCTTTGTTCTTGACGCCTGCTGGGGTTTGGAGAGCCATGATCTTCAATTATAACACTTCTGAGCAATGAGCAGCTTATACGGCCAAGTGTGATATACTGTCGAGTGCGCTCTTTCTCCGGTCTTTAACTTTGTCGTCTGCCAAAGATATCAAAGAGATAAGTCTTTCCTATACTGGCTCAAATGTGGCTGCCTGGAAGTAATAGCACGGATCTAAGGTAAACTTATTCTCGAGTCTTAAGTCTGATGTTGTTTGAGGACCCATTTAGGAAGTTCGATCTATCAGGCTGCAATAGAGATCGTTGGCGCGTCAACCGCAATTGAACGATGTTGTGAGTGACTTGATAGCTATTCTCACTGTGCTTTGATTTTTTATTTAGTGGCATCTGGAATTTCAAGTTTTAATTGCAAACATCGTGTTTGACGATGTTCAAAAAATACAGAAGGTGCCAGTCACAGTTGGTTGTAGTTGAATTAGTCTAGTAGCGCCTCACTAACAGTGCTAAGTTCAGGGGACTAGACTGCCTAAGGTAGCCACTAGATTGAATTCTGAGACTTTATGGCGACTACAGCACTGAAAAGCTCCATTTTTGCATGCCAAATGTATGAAAAAAACATTGACATCTGGTCAAGCGTAACGGAGGATGACACACCGTCTGATGAGTGCAATCAAATCAGATATCATTCAATTGGTATAGGCATCGGTACAGTGAGTGGCAAGTTGTTCTGATCAACCAAATTCTCGCTAATTCTCTATTCAAGGCCCAAGGCGAGCATGTCCGTGTCCGACCTGGTCTTCTCAGACCAGGCGAACCACAACTTCTCTAAACTCCTCGGCGATCTCAAGCGCGCCAATCTCTCCATCACCAATCGGCTACGGTCCATCCAGCAAGATGCTGACTTCGTAGAGGAAGTCTCGTCTGCATTTGGCAGACCACTTGTAGCCAACGAGCGCTGTGGTAGCTGGTATATCAACCCAAAGGTCAAAGCTGCCTCAGCGTACTTCAAGAGCACAGATGGTCATACAGGCCAGTGGAAGTTCAGCTCCCGGAGGCTAAATCTGCACCTGATTCCTTTGATATCTCAGCATGATGGGTCCGTGTTACTTCTCCCTGGTTATTGTGGTCCTGTAGGACCTCGTGGCTAACCTTGTCCGTATCTAGTATCATAGTTGTTGATTCTACCAGGCGAGGAAAGAGTAAGTCTTAGAGTTCTGCCCGAGTACCTAATCGTTCTGGTGTCGCTGATCTGTCGTAGGGATGCCCGACGCCCTCAGCAAGACCATCCCAGTCTGGTGCTGTGTGCTAAACCGAGCCCTGTTTCCTGACAACACAGCCGCGCATCAGCTCTATGTTCCGCCCAATACGGTTTCGGACTCCGAGGGCAGTCAGATGTCAGACCGCATTCCTCAGTTTCTAGAATCCTTCCATCAGTTGGGTATCGACCTAGATGCTCTAGGGACCCAGATATCTAAACCCCTAAGGCCGATGTGGGTAACCCAGGAGAGCAAGCTTGTACCAGTGGATCAGGTCTTCGAGACCTTCCACCCAGTCATCTGCTGCACGTCCTCCCGGAGAGTCGTCGGCGGCGAGATGAGTGAGGGAGGGTACATCCAAGGCGCGGGAGACGATACCGAGAACTGGGCCTTAGGGCTGACGCCCCCTGTCTTCTGGAAGCATGCGGATCAGCTTATGTCAACTCCTGAGGCAGACCTCCCAGCTCTCATTGCCTCATTGGTCTCCGAGACCGACGGGAGCATGTCGAATGGGTCCCCACCAACACGGCTCACGCCGAATATTTATGTCATGCCCCTGGCGGCTGCGACGAACTGGGCTGAGCCTGGTGGGTGTAGGGTGGTTCTCGACCCAGGGACCACCAAGCCGGAAGAATGGGCCAAGGCTCCCTCCCTGATGAAGGTAGGCATTGGAAAGCACAAGTTGGCTAGCCGGAATCTTCGCCAGGCACTACCTAGCATCTGCTCATTTGTAGGTCAATATCTAGCCAGGGCAGAGGCAACCGGCAGCGAGTTACGGGGTAGTGTCTTGTTGACATGTGAAAGTGGGAAAGACATCTCGGTGGGTGTGGCACTCGCTATTGATTGCCTGCTGTTTGATGACAAGGGCAAGCTCAGGAGTAAGGACGGGACTACTGATTTCAACAAAAATATGATCAAGATTAGACTGGGCCGCATAATGACTGCCATGCCCGAGGCAAATCCTAGCAGGTCCACTCTGCAGAGCGTAAATAGCTTTTTGATGGACGGGCATCGGTAACACACCGTATGCCAAAGTCTATTGAGGTTGATTCTATCGCCAACTCAATAATGATACCCAAGAGAGATCTCTCTATCTGAAAGCACGGGCAATTCCCCGCATGCAAGTATCGCCGGGTTCTACCCTCTAGGTGTATGTCTATACCTTTCCGCTCTCAATCTGTTCGAGGCAAGACTCGAACTCGCTCCAATCTTGCATGATTACCACGGCGCCAGCATCACGTAGCACCTTCTCCATCTCGGCCTTCTTGTCGTCCGCGTAAGGGCCGACGTATCCAATGGCCTTGATACCAGCTCGTGTCGCGCTGAGTGTACCGCTCTTCGAGTCCTCCACCGCGACACACTCGTCGGCGGTCTTGCCCAGGACTTTCATCGCGTGCAGGTAGATGGCAGGATCCGGCTTGCTAGTCGGCTTGGGCAGACTCGTCGCGGCGGAGAAGACGTGCTCGCCGTCGAAGAACTTGTCCTGGCCGACCTTCTCGATGCTGGCCTTGACTCTCCGCAGGGCCGAGCTCGACACGACGGCTAGGTGGTACTTCTTGTGCTCGGCCAGCTTGTCGAGCTCGGCGTCGACGCCGGGGCAGGGCTTGAGCGCCTCCTTGAGCTTGGCGATGACGACGTCCTCCTCGCGCTTGACATACTCCTCGGTGTCCTCCGGGCTGATCTCGAAGTTGTAGCGCTGCTGTAGCGACGTGAGCATGCCGCGGAAGTTCTGGCCCACAAACTCCTTGATGAGGGTCTCGCCGGTGAAGGGCTCCGGGATCTGGACGCTGCGCTGTTTGCAGATCTCGTTGATCAGGTCCGCGCAGCCCTCGAAGGCGAGCTCCTCTGAGAGGACGAGCGTGTTGTCGCAGTCGAAGAGGAGGGTTGTGATCTTCGCCATGTTGTGCGTTTGGATGTGGATGATCGACGGACGAGAATCCGGGGAAGAAGTGGACCAGAGAGGACAGCAACGAAAAGTTGCACAGACAGATGTGGAGGAGTCTGGAGATCTGGAGATATGGAGATCTGCTAGAACAGTAGGCAAAGCCTGGCGGCGTCTGAAGTGCGAGGGGATGACGAGAAGTGATCTTCAGGAGGGAAATCGCGCGGTAATAAGGTCGATGGGACACTTGACATGTGGGAATGCAATCGAATGCCTCTGATTCCTCTTCGGAACCTCGACCCTGAGACCCCGCTACACGCCCGACACGGCAGCGGCACATCCCTGAAAATTTACCCCTCAATGTACTGTATGTACGTCATAAGGCGCGTGAAATGCACTAAAGTTCTTGGCTTGGCGGCGCATTCAACGTCGGGTTTAGCGTTCGTCCTCACAAAAACACGGCAACGGCCCGACCAGCAGTATCAATCCTCCCATAAGTCTTCCTCCAGATGCAGATCCTCAGGCCATTGCTGCAGCTATAGCCGCTTCAACCAAGGTAATCCTGCTGCGAAACGGCTGGTGGCCATCTTTGTATACACAGAGTACGCGGGAAATTGCATGGTCTTGGTTTGAAGACCTTTCTCTATCAGCTTGAGGTGAAGAGAGGCGGCCTGGCGACAATTCATCGAGCCTTTTCACAAACTAAATTTACGCTTTAGAAATCTAAGGTGTTGTCAGACAGTGGCCTTTACCTAAGTCATGCACAAGTTGAGATGTGACAGCTCACCGGGCAACACCGGGCGTCAGACAGTTCCAATCAGCTCCTATGTAGTAACCATTTAGAAATAATTGTCTATAATATATAGGTGGAAATAAATGACTCAAGGATGATTTCTTCTCACTGAACTTTTATCCCCTAGCAATGCTTTAGATTGGCACGTTACGGGTGCTCGTGAACTGGGACAATGGCCCGAGCAAAGACATACTGGCCAGCGTACGGCTATATCAGTTAAGACCAAAAACTTGCCGCTTTCCGGCTGTGATGATTGGATGTACCTCGAAATGTGCACTCATGTCACTTGGGCAGTAACTAGCAACAAACTTCATTATGCAAGTCTGATATTACTATCTATAAAATTGGTCATCCTGATCATATATCAAGCAAAAACAAGGAGGCATCACCGGCCGCCCAGAACTCCATGCCCCGTGATTTCATTTCATGACCCATGCGGTAAATGCCATTGCAGGATGGCTAAAGTTGCTAAATGTTGCGACGTCTAGCACTGTCTTACCAAGAGTCCCAAAGCGTTGGACACTGGGTAGAGCTAGATGTCCTAGTATCTTGATTCGTCGTAGTTGTCTCTACTGGAGATCTGGTAGCCTTCGAGGGATCTTCGGCGAGGAGAAATTTGTGGTTGCTTCATTATTCAATTATAGGATCTCCTTGAGCTTGCGCTTCTGATCCCCTGTGAGGCTTGTGGGGAACTTGACGTTGTACTTGATGACAAAATTGCCCCTCTGTCCAGGCTTTTTGGAGATTGGCATGCCGAGAGATGGGTATGTGTCTGAAGAACCGGGCTGCGTAGGGCCAGATTTGTCCAAATTAATCTGCTTGCCGTCAATGGTAGCGACGGTTCGCTTCCAGCCTGTCAGAGCTTCCTTCAGGTCGAGATCAACATTCATCTGGACGTCGTCGCCTTCTCTGGTGAAGATGGGGTGCTTCTTCTGCAAAGTTTGTTAGCATACTGTTCACTAAATAGGATCTTTTTGGTTGTAGCTTACCTCCTCAACGATGAAGACGAGATCTTGCTGTCCGCCCTCTTCTTGATCCCCCACACCCTTGAATCGGATCTTGCTGCCCTTCTTGAGACCTGGTTTGATGGGCACTTCTAGGACGGTGTCTGTGGTGGTGCGCTTGCCTGTGTCATCAAACATCTTGCGCTTGATCTTCATCTTCTTGGTAACTCCATTGAAGAGATCCTCCAGAGACACGGGCAGGGGTCGCTCTACTGTGGTCACTTCAGGTGTTGTAGCTCTTCTGGCGCCGCCTCCCATGGCGTCAGCACCGCCGAATGTAGAGCGAACCCGGGACGACCGTGAGCCCGCAGATGCTCGCCCAGCGCCGCCAAAGTGTTGAAATATGTCGTCAAAGTCATCACCGCCGGCGCCGCCAGCGCCGCCCATGCCCGCACCTCCGGATCGCATAAACTCGGAGAAAATGCTCGTTGGGTCGCTGAAGTGGAATCCATTACTTCCACCCCCACCTGTGCTGAAGTGGAATGTCCTCGTCCCGCCGCCAGAGGGCACGCCGCCGAAGTCGAAGCCGCTGAATCCGCCAGGCATGCCACCTGCTTGCCCAGCGAAGGGGTTGCCGCCGGCATCCGGAGCTGGTGCGCCACCCCGCAGCAGGAACTCCAAGCCGAACTGGTCATATGTCTGTCTCTTCTCCGGGTCAGAGAGAATCTCGTATGCTTGCGAGCACTCCTTAAACTTTTCGGCCGCATCCGGATTGTCCTTGTTCTTGTCTGGGTGCCATTTTAGAGCTGCTTTCCTGTACACATCGATGGTTAGTTTGCATGTCGGCTAATGGGCGGGTTGACAGTTGTTGCTGAGTGAGGGAGAAGGGGTGGGACACATGTGAAGAATATAACGGGAATATCCCGATTGTGATGGAGGAGTCTGGGGAATTCTGGAGACAAGATATGCAATTGAGAGGAAGCTTACCTGTAGCCCTTCTTGATCTCGTCCTGGGTTGCGTCAGGCTTGACGCCCAGCTGGTCATAGAGCTTCGTTTCCTTGACCATGGTTGTGTTTTACGGTAAAATGTGATGTGGCAACTGCGTTAAGAAACCGGAATACACTCAAAGTACTCTCGAGGTCCTACGCAGGAGAGAAATATAGGCGTGACTTGTGCCGCCTGAGGTAATTGAGGTGGTGTTGATGTTGGGTTGGTGTTGTATGGGGAAGGATACAACGGGTAGAGAATCGTGACAAGGTCGTGTTGCTTGCCGTGAATCGATGCAAAGGTGAGTTTGCAGAAGTGAGTTTGATGAAATATGGTGAGGAGGGACTGAGCAATGAGGTTGGACCACTGCAGGAGTTGTTTAAGTCAAGTGGTGAGGGAGGGCTGTTCTGGAAGTGTCGCCAGACGATTAAGGCTGCGAAGCTGGATATAGTGAGGAGGCTTCTTTGTCCGGACGGGCAGCACTAGAAGGTTCGATGGCCAGCGCTGGCTGGTGGTAGGAGGTAGTGACGCAGGCGGGGCAGGCTTGCACCACCCACTTACAAGAGCTCACCCTGCCCTCAGGTCTCCACTGCAACGCTCCCGCTTTCAACGGGGATTGTAATTGTTCCTCAACTGTTTGGATATGCGTAACGAATCTACCAAGGTACTCTGAGTACATGTTTGCTTCCATTTCAAAACAATCCGAATGCCAATTTCCTGGTGAATCGGATTCAACTTCACAAGGTTTCGTGCTAAGAACTGTCCTCAAAGGAAGACGGCCACCCTCGGCTCAAACAAAGAGCAGCGGTGACGATATTTCCAGCATATTCTGGTTTCCAGTGGTGGGGTCTCGGGCCCCAAGGATAATGTAGGCTGGTTAGTGCTTTGTTATCGTTATCAATGGCTTGACACCTGACCTCATCGATAGATGATTGGTAGCGCTTCTATCGCGCGCAACGCTGAGGACCACACTTATTTGTTAGGCTCAGTATCATAACTTAGATCTCGGGATATCTCCTACCACTTGACCTCTTTACAGCAAAGATGCAAATGTGGACCAACGATATTATACATTTCAAATTTCTATATGCATAGGCCTACAGAGGGGGCAGTTCCTCTCTACATATAGGACACTGTAACCGGAACCGGAGCCAGCCTTCCAGGCACGCGCTGTGGAATATGTGCCGGCAAGGTGTGACCATGTATTTCCGGCGCTCAAACACGCCAGCCACGCCGCCTGAAGTCGGGTCCGCCTCTGCACCGGCTGGTACGACGGGGACCTCGAGTATTTCCCGGCAGATTGCACAATCAATGACATGTGTGTTCATGCGCCTCTTCTCCTTATCCTTGTCTCTGTACCGATCGCCCTCCCCGGTGCTCATGCTCCTGGCCCTCTCAAGGCTGGGTGACCCGGGAGCGGACGACGATACAAGCCCTATCGGCAAACCACCAGCCTCGAGATTGTCCTCGCGCAAGACAGGATGGTAGTCCCACGCTTCCGGCATCCACCCCTTGGGTAGTCCGAACCGGGGCCCTAGGATGTCTTGGAAGGCTAGGATCCATAGCTGGATCCAGAGCCAGCCTGCAAGGACAGCCAGGGCCTTCCAATCCGTCTCTGCAAACAGAAGATTGTCTCTGCGGAGATAAAAGTACGAGAACGGTAGAATCCGCAGGATCGATTGGCCGATCATGAAGCGCCAGGAAAATGCCCGACGACTATTCCGTAGCGTATTTCGATATATCTGAGGAACCCAGAGCGAGAGATAGACGAACGCTAGTGTGTTGACATACGCCGCACGTAGCGATGCCCACCACGACATCGAAGCTAGTGAGAGGAAGAGGATGCAGGTGCCGATAAGTATAAATCGGCCGGCTATAGTAGAAAATGTGGTCGCCCGAGCTTGCTGAAGACCATTGCCTGTTGTGCCTGCCGTAGGAACGGCTGCCGCACCGGCTGTGGTATTTTCCACGATCTCGGCATCGATATCCTGATCTGATGGTATAATTATAGGTGGGGAGTCGGCTCGAGGAGGCCCAGCAGTCACAGGCCGGGGTAAACCGCCCGAAGCCGGTGTCGGCGTTGCAGGGGGCCGAGGAGTCGAGTTGTTCGGTGTATGCTCCCGGTCTCTGTTTCGCCGTTCTGGCTCTTGGACCTTGTATATCTCTGCCAAAAAGCTACCACCAACTGTCATGGATAAGAAGGCCGAGAACGTAGTCATTAGAGAGGGCAGGAAGGTGACAGAGGCAGACAAGCTCCAAGCCGACGAGCTCGCAAAAATCAGACCATCAGCTAATACCATTGCGCTTGCTGTCCAAAAACTAATGCGACCCATGGTAGAAGGGGTGGCAGATTCCCTCATCTGCCCCTTTAAGAGATAGATCTGCCCAAATATAACAGCAGCAAAGACAAGCAGCCACGTCTTAGCCTCGCATAAGAATATCTCCTCTTTCATGCCAACTAGGTGGCGTCCATTCGCAACAGGATAGATTGGAGGTCCTTTCGATTCTAAGAAAAACGCACAGTCGGGGGAATACAAGACGGCTGACATCCTCAGCTCCGGAACTTGAGGTATTGGCGCGCCGAGAGGATTGCGAAGTTCGTCTTCAATTTCATTGACTAGGCCAGTCATATCCTTTTTCCAAATGTGAGCCGGATTGAGGGGTTGCACCTGTAAGTACATGATATACTCGCAGTGTGGAGATGGGTTCCAACTCTCCCCAGGGGCATCAGCAGTCGAGCTCCAGGGGTTGCTGGGGTCCGAAAATGTCATCCTCTCCTTTCGGCGTAGAGTCTCGTCTAGAGTTTCATTGAGAAGCTTTTGACTTGACGCAAAGTAATTTGGGTCTGGAGAAAGATGGGGCAATCCAAATATTCCATAAAACTTCTCGCTCGTAGTTGTCAGCAGCATGGCACCCTGTTGGGGCCAGTGCACTCCGTGGAGCATCATGTCATAACTGCTGCCACTGCCCCCGTACATGGCATCATCCTCCAGAGTGACAGTTGCGGAGACCTCTCTCACGATACCGCCTGTAGTAAGCAGCGGGAAGTCTTTCTTTTCCTCATATTCCAGCGTCCTCTGCTTGTCCTCAAGGCGCACCAACATGGCGCCATCGGACGCGGTCAAGTTCCTGCTCCACTCCGAATGAGTTCCGCTCCAGGAAATCAAGGGCGTCATCTCAGTGAAGTTATAACTGGTCCACTGCCTTGGTACAGAGGCATTCCGCCGCACCCAAGGTCCTTTCACGACACCGGTTGCATTCCGCCATGTAGCCTGTTGGTTGCCCATGTCCCACGGATTCTGCTCGCGTGATGCCGGGAAAGTATTCCTGCTCCATTCAACACAGCGATCTCTAAAACGGCCCAAGTCTTCCCATGCGAAGTTATCTTGTTTTCTAAAGCCCGTAAGATTTAGATACCGAGGAGCTGCGCCCTCCGGGTCGTCCGGCTGAAGCGGTGAGAAGTCTCCCCATTTTGTCGAATTCAGGACGCCGTGGGCATGTCGTTGTCGTTCGAGTCGAGCGGCCGTTATCGATGGAGTGGTGAGTAGTCCTGGACCATTGTCGGGAGAGAATATGAGCCACATGATCAGGATGATGAACATGAATGCCCGAGCATTCTCCTGAGGCTGAGGCATGATGGGCAAACTGCCTTAGCACAATGCTAAGGCCAAATGCAATTAATTCATCGATTTGGAGTTTATTCGGCGATACAAGAGGAGGTTTTCTCCATCCTCGATGCGCTGTGTGCTGGTGACTGGACTGGGTGACTCGTATGAGGCAATGTCTAAGTCAAAGGAAGCGCTGGAGGTTGAAGCTTCGGGGAGCTTAGATACCATCACCCGAGGACAGCCCCCATTAGATGGCTAAACCCGTCTTAACCTAGCGCAACATGCCCCTTCCCATAGTGACAGCCCCACCTACAGTCCCTCTATGTACCACTGTCTCTCTCATCGAAACACAGCGAATGAGCGCGACTTGCCCAAGACTGTCTTTACCTATTCTCATCTTCGCCCGGCTATTGTCACTAAATAGCAGCTGAGAAACGTACTCAAAATGGCATCGAATAGCGCAGATACTAGCAGCCAGACGAACGTCAGTTTTGCTTACCCTTACCAGCTCAAATCAGTCTCTCACCGACTAACCATGCTATGTAGAACTCCGATGATGCGCGAGCCGAACTGACTGCTCAGCTTGACGAACTCTTAAACACACTCTCAAATAAGTTCGCCGGCGTGTCGAGTGAGATCTTCGCGAAGAGTAAGTTGTCCCACTGTCCCACTCGTAGAGAATGTCACTAAAGCTTAGGACAAGTGGACGAGATGTCAAGACGTTTAGACAATCTTGAAGCTGCTTTGATGGCAAACAACGAGAGCAATTCAGGTTCGAAGCAGTCATAACATCATGTACTTGTTACATACAGGTTTTAAAGTCGGCGTTATGGGATCACATGGATCACGGAGTCACGAAGGAATGCAATCATGAGATAGTGTCTGGATATGGTATCAAATGGAAACTCCAACTCGCATTGCCTTTACCCTGAGTTTTGTGTGACGTTACGCATCAGCTTTATATAGAAAACCGTAATGAAATCCGCCTATCAATAATTTACAGCTCATCCTTGCCAGTGGCCTTCTGGAGGAAACGGCGCAGGACATTGGTCTTGCTGGTGAGCTCGTCCAGCTTGGTCGGGGCCAGGCCACCCTTCTTGAGAATACCATCCAGACGAGTAAGCTCTTTGGAAGCAAAGTCCTGGTTCTTGCTCAACTTGTCGAAGACTCGGAGGTAGTACTCGGCATACTTGTACTGAGCCTGCTCCTTCAGGCTCTCAGCCTCCTTCTTCGCCTCGGCAGCTGTGTCAGAAAGAGAGGCGCCAGCTTCAGAGAACTTGCTGACAATCTTGTCAAGGATCTCAATGGTGCCAGCATAGGCATCCAGACCACCTCCAGCAACGCGGTGAGTGCCGGCCTTCTCGTTCAAGAACGTGATGAAGTCAGCCTCGGAACGGCCGCCGTTGTAATCCTCAGCAGTTGCGCTGCCCTTGGGGAAGAACTTAATAGTTGGGTAGGAGGTGACGCCCTGGGCGATGGCGGTAGCCTTGCTGTTGTCGGCCTCTGCGTCGACCTTAGCGATGAGGACATTGGGCTCGTTCTCGAAGTCTTCGGCTAGAGTCTCCCAGGTTGGTGCTAGGTTCTTGCAGTCTAGAAAGGTTCAAGTCAGCTGCCCGTGTACAATTATCCAAAGGACTTAGGTTACTCACGGCCACACCAGGGAGCAGTGAATGCCACAAGGACATCCTTATCACCGCCAATCTCCTTTGCAAATGAGCCATCATTGAGCATCACCACACTGGACGGCTTCTCTAGCTTCTTCTTCGGCTTGACAGAGGTCTTCTCCGTGATAAAGCCAGACAAGCTATCCAGGTCCCGGCCGCTAGAGTAGTCAGTAGGCTTGTCGCTCTTGCCATCGAACCACTTCAGAGTCGGAAAGCCCTGGACACCGAACCTCTGTCCAAGGCTTCTGTGTGCATCGGCATCAACCTTTGCAACCTGGACCTTGTCCTTAGCGAACTCGAAGGTGGAGGCGAGTTCTTCATAGACGGGTGCCAAATTCTTGCAGTGACCACACCACGGAGCAAAGAACTCCACAAGAGTTGGCTTTCCAGACTTCAACACAACCTTGTCGAAGTTGTCGGGGGTGAGGTCTAGGACGGCAGACTTAGCAGCTGCAACAGCCGCCAGAGCACCAACCAAGAAACTCTTGATGAGGACCATTTTAAGGTCAAGTTTGTTAGGGTGACAAATGTCAAGAAAGTGATGGTAAAAGAGACAAAAGTGTCTAAGCAGTCCAAATGATCTCTATAGAAGAATTTGACTATGCCTTGATAGATAGTCAATTCAAAAAACCTAGGGATGGATAGTTGCTTTGAAATCAAGCTCCAAAAGAAGCCACTTTGCAGTATTCACAGAGCTGGATAAACAGGACCTACGTCAAGTCAGGACAGCTGTCGGCATTCACTAATCAGGGCGTGGCAACCGAAAAGGCGCTTGGGGACTCTTAGCGTCGTTTCCGATAAGACCTAAGCAGGTGATAAGCCAGCTTACCATCCATTGTGGCTTGTTGTGCTGTGGCTTGACCTCTTCGACGAAGCTAGCAACGGAAAGACGCTAACCTAGGTTGACTAGCCTCCAACTGGCCCCCCAAACCCACAATCCACACAGAAAATCCAAAATTCCTTCCCCAGCCGCGAAATCGTGACAGATCAAGCAACTTTTCGGCCTCCTCAATCCAACACCACCCCCCGGGACCGCTACCGCCGAAACCAGCAAACATGTCTCACGAATCCGTCTGGAACTCTCGCCCGCGCAAGTACGGCAAGGGCGCTCGCTCATGGTATGCCGAATAACCTCGAAGACGAGCCCTAGGATGGGATGGGAAAACAGCGTACTGACAATCATCTCTACAGCCGTGTCTGCACCCACCGCGCCGGTCTGATCCGCAAGTACGGTCTCGATATCTGCCGTCAATGCTTCCGTGAGAAGGCCAACGATATCGGCTTCGTCAAGGTACGGCTCGAGCGACAGTTATGCACGCATGGAATTCGGAGGACGTTTGCTAACAGGGACGCAGCACCGATAAACGTTGTCTAGGAGGAGAGGAGCTGTGGTCGACTCGATAAAAAAACACCCCATCTATCGCACGATGAGCATTCTCAGGGCTATTGCCTGTACGGAGTTGTCTGGTTTGGCATCGGTTATAGGTTTCGGAACCGACTTCGGGGAGGAACAATGGCTTAGATGAGATCACCTCGCGACAGGAAAAATACATCTATTGCCGTATTGGCCGTCATGATCAAGAAGAAGGACTAGCTTTCGATCGCTGTGAAATTTGTGTGTTCAGACCACGCAACCGTTGTGTTGGGATTCTAGTGAAGCTATTCAGAAAGGATCTAATTCGACATCAGATGTGCGCCTTGTCCAGAAATCCTTCGCTTTGAGGAGCGTCATTGGCCCGTATAGTTTGCTCGTTTGGAGCATAGCGAATTTCTCACTACAAACTCACGAGGTCACAAACGATCTCGAATCAGCACCATACAATGTAAGTTCTAGGAGCGTAGATGTGAATGTCTATGATTGCCTTTTATTTCGCCTATACTACACAAATAAGACAGAGGAGAAGTAGAGGGGAGATCCATATGGCCTTGACACTGACGTACAACCGCGACCCGAAGCAATTATGTCCAGATATTAGTACATCATAGGTATGCCGTGCCATACATGGTAAAGTGCCGCTCAACTCCTTTCCATGCCAGTTGGCGAAATTGTGTCGAGACCGCCGCCCATCTGATCCAATTACTGAACCAAGAGGAGAAAGTCTGTTAGGGTATCGTTTATTTGATAATTCTAGTGATCAGACCAGTGGCGACGGTCCTGCCTCCCTCACGGATGTTCACGCGCTGGCCAGCCTCGACAGCACAGGGTGCGTGGAGCTTGGCAACCATCTCAACGTTGTCTCCGGGCATGACCATCTTGGAGCTGGCGTCCTCGGTGCCCTCGGGGAAGTAAAGAGCGCAAGACTCATCAGCGGTACGGATGTACATCTGAGGGCGGTAGTTCTCGTGGAAACCGGTGTGACGACCACCTTCCTCCTTGGACAGAACGTACATGGAGATCAGGAACTCAGTGTGGGCGGAAACACTGCCAGGCTTGGTGATGACCATTCCACGTCTGACGTCCTCTCTGCGGACACCACGGAGCAGCAGACCAGAGTTGTCACCAGCGCGGGACTCGTCGCAGGACTTCTTGAAGGTCTCGATGTCGGTGACCTTGGTCTTGATGACCTCACCACCCTTGCCGACCAGCTCAACCTCAGAATCCTTCTTCAGCACACCACGCTCGACACGGCCAGATGCGACGGTACCGCGGCCAGCAATCGAGAAGACATCCTCGACAGACATCAGGAAGGGCTTGTCGAGGTCACGCTCAGGGGTCGGGATCCACTCGTCTACGGCCTTTAGCAGCTCGTCGATCTTCTGCTCGCCAATCTCTGGTCGGCGGCCGTCCAGAGCGCACAGGGCAGAGCCCAGGATGACGGGGGTCTCGTCACCCTCGAAGCCGTATGTGTTCAGCAGCTCACGCATCTCCATCTCGACAAGCTCCAACATCTCGGGGTCCTCGAGGGCATCAACCTTGTTGACGAAGACAACAATCTTCTGGACACCGACCTGTCGGGCCAGCAGAAGATGCTCTCGGGTCTGGGGCATCTGACCATCGGACGCAGCAACGACGATGATTGCACCGTCCATGTTGGCGGCACCCGTAATCATGTTCTTGATGTAATCGGCGTGACCGGGACAGTCGACGTGGGAGTAGTGACGAGCCTCAGTGGAGTACTCGATGTGCGCCGTCGAGATGGTAATACCACGCTTTCGCTCTTCGGGCGCCTTATCGATGGAGCCATAGTCGAGGAAGTTTGCCATTCCCTTGTCGGCTTGTCTCTTTGTGATAGCTGCGGACAGTGTGGTCTAATTTAAGATTTATTAGCTGATTTGGACGGGCTTCAAAACGTGGCAGAATTCAAGTACCTTTCCATGATCGACGTGACCAATGGTGCCTGTAGAAATATCACGTCAGTGAACAAACTGAGGGTAGTAATGGCAAGTGGACGAACCGATGTTCACGTGAGGCTTCGTCCTCTCGTAGACAGCATATCCTCTGTAAAGGTTAAGGACTGGGGTCGCGCTCTGTCTCTGCAGGGCGATCAAAGGATGCGCCGGTTTCCTGAAGGAGGAGCGCGCCGTCCGTAAGAACGGGGCAATTGTTCTGAGAGATGCAGACATCTTGACCCACAACTAAAAGAAGGGCAAAGACGAATGAGCGGAGATGGTGAAGAATTGGGATGCGCAAAGCTGCGTTGTCCTGCGGAACAGCTCTCTGGTCTGATGTTAAAATTTCCCAAAATTTCTCCCGACCAGAGCTCCCGAGGAGAGCGCTCGGACCACCTCCAAAGCACCACTCTCCAGTAGAATTGCACCTAATTACCAGGATTCTCAAGCCACCTGCATCCCCTGAATTGTTATATTGATAGCCTCACGTGTGGACGTTTGTGAATGTAAAAATCGCAGATAGAGCCATCATCACCAAGTTATTCAAGTGATATATGAGACCAAATTTGTGTATCAGTATACTCCGGGCCCCTATCAGTGTATCCCGGCATCCTGCTTGCTTGATTAAAGACATAAATGTCTGACCCCTTAATGCTGGAGTACGGGAGCCATTATCGCGTTTGTCCAAGGTTGAGGCCCTCTGTACCACAGCGAGTGGAACCCTAGATATAGGTGCTTGAGTATTGCCCAAGCCTCGAGCACTGATATTCTAATGAGATGCTGAAGGCGGCAGAAAGCCGGGATAGATACTGTATAATCGTGAATGCCACACATGCCTCTCGCACCTTAAATGTATGATCTCTTATTGTTCTTGTATTACTATAATAATTAGAAATGAGGCAGATATGAGTAAATGAGGATGGTACGCCCTCTCTCTTGAGATTGCAGCCGCAACGGATGATCGTCCTGCCCGTTGTGCGCCGAAACACAGCTGTGCGGACTGGTGCAGATGGTTATCTAGGTCGACCTCATGTCGCGGTTTCTGGCCACTACCTTATTCACCTGGTATTGCTCCGGGAGGGGCTACCGTTCCTGTGAGCCTGCCTACCTATCTAATATTTCGAAGAAAAGATTGAACCCCCTCCTTGGCATCTGGATCAGTCCAAGAGCGGAAAGCACGTGGGATCGACTCTCGCTGTTGAAATTGGTTGAAAGCCTTCCGAACTTCTATCCAAGCCTCGCTGGTCTCGGTATCTTGGATGGTATATTCACTTCCCTCGATTTTCGAGCCAAGAGGCATCCAGGGTCGCTCGTCGGGGAAGCACTTTTCCCACAGTCCCAAGTAAGGACCATCATTGCGTGGATCTCCAATGATTATGGGATGCTTCGGGACTTTTCCTTTGTTGATATATGCTTGTATCTTCTTGATTGTGCACAAAGATACTGCTGCCAACGAGCAATGGCCTTCAGAGAGCTGTTCAACTAGGCCTGAATGAGCGAAACGCTGGGACTGAATAAGGCCTGAGTGTAGGGGTGTCACAGGGTCGTGGGTATTCGAGATAAACATGATTGGGTAAGAGGTATTGATAGCTGGCCGGTCGTCAGTTGGGAACTTGTCCCAATCAATAGCCGGTGGATCTTCGAGCGTTATGTTCCACCCAGCGCATGTCATGACGATAATGTCCATCCACTAGGGTCATTTAGCAAAAAAATGTATCATGTCGATTTTGGGAATGTGAACTTACGACATCGGTGAAATACGAAGATTTTCCGTACTTCCTCCAGATGTCCTCAAATCCATTCGCATCAGATGCTGCCTATAAATCTTCAGTTAATACACGGCCACACGACGAATGGTGATGAAGGCAATTAAACAATTTATAATCTGGCAGGGGCAACATGAAAGTTTATATTCATTTCCCAACGTCTGTGTGTCTGCACTTGCTTTCCTACCCTGTCTACTTTTGCTCGTAAAGGGGCGTTGATTTCTTCTGGGGAAGACAGTTATGAAGGTGATAATGAGAGATATACTTACCGCCCATCGTCGGTCACTGCATCCTATGGCTCGAAGGCTGTCCGACAGAACCATAGGTAGATTCAGCTTGTTCTCGCAGACATTGACCAAGCTCGGTGCTACAAAAAAGTTGAGATTCACTCCCCGGTCGAGGTTGTCGAATATCGCAGCCATTATGGGAAATAGCTGGACTGGAGAATATAAGAACTGGAAGATTATTTTCTTAAGTGTGTCTCTGTCCAAAATAGCTGGTATCTTGGCGAGAGGAGACACTACCACCTGCGGTTCCTGTTCTAGATCATCCATGATGGTCTCATATCGATGTCTGATGTCGCTGACTTTGGTGTCGTAGTGTCGGAAGAATTGGCATTTCTCCCGAGCCAGGAAACAATAGGTAAAGAATGTGTCGAATACTGCGTCTGCGTCTCGGATTCCGCTGAGCCATGTATCTTTCTTGTCCTCATTCGGAAAGTAAATGTCAGTGTCGACGACACCGTCAAGAACAAGACGGCCGACGGATTGCGGGAACATCGATGCAAATGTCGCGCCGAGGAACGTGCCATAACTGAAGCCCCAGTATACCAGTTTGCCTTTGGTATCAGGAGGTGAGTAGACAGCAATGGACCCCGCTGCACAGTCGGCTTCAGGAGACCTTTTGCTTTTGAGGTCATCAAGCCATCGATCCCAAGCCTCGATAATGCTCTTCATATCCTGGGCTGTGTGTGGCGTGCCCGCATACTTGAAGATGCTGCGATCCTCTTGTTCGGCGTCTTTGACCTGGCACAACTTGGCGACAGCCTTCTCTCGCGTGAACCTTTTTGGGATCGCCGAGGCACTGCTATCTCGCAGGCCAACTGCTACGCCCTCAATTTCCCACGTCAAACGATTCATCAAGGCATCCCGTCTTACAAGATCGTCAACAGTGTCCGGGTCTTCCTGATCATCCATAAAGCAGTCTGCTCCCGGGGTGGTCTCACCGATAGCTCGTGGGTCCCAGCTGATCAAGTCGTGATGATCTCCGACAAGTTTATGAAGTGCAGGACCGATCAACAACAAGAACAAGGTGCCGGGTCCGCCTGGCCCGCCGGGGTTGAAAAGTAAGGGAGATCCGGAGAAGACACCAGTCTCTAGACTGTGATTGCGCCCGGCCAGCATTACCAGAGCAAGGTGAACCTTGGGGTTGTTTGCGGAGTTATTCAATGGACGACTATAGTCCATCGATACGGTTAAGCGTGAACAATAGAACTGTGGACCATATTGGTGATAACACGGCGTCCAGGATAGATTCTGACTGGGTTTGAGACTCTTCCAGTCAGAGAAGTTCACCGATGACAGTTCGGGCTCCTTATGTTGCCTCCCAGTGGATTGTTTGGGCCGCCATGTTGGAACATCTGTGACATGAAGCGATAACCAGAGGAGGAGGGCAGTCAGTATAACTGCTTGCGCCCAAGTGACTCGGGATTTAGGCTTGGCCCTGACATCGGGCGAGTAGTCTGACTTCTCCGACAACATTGCGCTGAAGCATCAGAGCCGATTGACAAATTTGATTATTACTGAGGATGAGACTCTATCTCATGATGATGAAGCTGATTGAGATCACGGTCGGACAATCAACTGATTTGGGAGGTCCGATGATGTATCGGCCGAGAGCTACAGCTTAGGCAGCCGCATTCCAAGCACCAATGAACCGTCGTATGCTATGCGGGGTGTGGTCGATCTCTAAATCGATCCTTCATAAAGCATTCGTAAGACTCGACGCAATTGATTAGCGAACGTCGTCGCGTTGAATCCAACGGGGGAGTTGCAGTAATTGCATCAGAGGGTCGCAAGGCGCCCTGCTTTACGTAGGGAGGACGTGTTGCGGGTTGGAGTGTATACCTTATCTGGGTATGTAGTTCTGCGGTTTTCTGACAGTGACTACTGTGAACTTAGCGGCTCACAGTAGGTAGTCACTGTCAGAAAATGCAGCCAACCACTCTACTTACAAACAAAAAAAAAAGGTCCTAGCACGAATCATATAGATGCAAGACAAATATACTTACTTGTCTATATAGTTAAGGGAGGAACATGTATGTATTCTTTAGTCGCCAGATCCCACAATTGGGTTGCGTGGTCTTGGTAACAATTACGGCGCAGTAGTGCAAGAAATTGAATTCAAGTCTTCGACAAGATAACCAATGAAGTTCGCTTGGCCTTCCCGCAACATTTACCATACCTATAGTACGGGAGGTGTTATGAGCAGTTTACCCTTTTCTCAATCCGACTGACAAGAAGGCGTCCGCTCCCATATCCAGAATGAGGAGAGACCGGCAGCTGTTTTGTCGGATTGCAAGTTCAACTCAATCACAAAGAGTCGTCCCTTACACTATCCATCCATCTCGGAAACATGTGGAGGTCTCCGATTTGTTTTGTTTTAGTCTGAAAATTGTAAACACAATTGTTTCGTCTCAAGAAAACCACCAGCCAGGGGCTTGACTGTGAAGCGTAGACCGATGCGCGGCTTCAGCCAAGTCATCGGCTATATTTTCTCTTCAAGCTCAGGGCAAGCGTAACCTCGATATGAAATAGCCGAGGATTCTGGCTGTTCAATTGTCAAGTGTTCCCATCCCCGTGTTGATCTATTTTTGGAGGTCGAAAGCTTGAAGCAGGCCAAGAATCTCCAAGACACTCCTCGATTCTACGCCAAGTTGTTTGATGCCTCGTCATACAACAAGCATTTGCCAATGTTCTCCGCCAACGGGCCCGTATTATCACGTCGCTGGTATTGCTTTCTTGTCCAGATAAGCGAGGCTTCCACCAAGGCCAACGGAATTATGGCCACCATTATGGGCTTTCCATGGGAAGGGAACTCGTCTCAATCTTGACACTGAACTGACTCTAACTTTTACGAGGGCAGTCGTTGGTCTTTGTTGTGCTGCCCCTTAGTTCTAAGTGTGCCCCTGCTCGTGAGCATGTGTACTATCTCCTGGCTTCAAAAGGGCTTGAACCGGGAGAGCTGGCAGCGGACGGCAGAGTGCCAACCCGTTCGCCTCCCTTCAGGGTATGGGAAAGTGTAGATTCGTTCCGAGGCCGATCTGATTGGACGGATGCCGCCAAGATGTAGCAATTGAGAGGTTGAGACGGCGAGGCTTCCATAATTGGCCCTGCGACAGCGACGCTGGACAGAGCCAACGACAGGGTCCCGCCTCAGAAGTGCCGGCATCGAGTTACCCCCAAGATCACATACACACTCATGCCCCAGATAGCTGAGCAAGCTGAGCAAAGTTTCCGCACACACACTCTCTCCCACTGTAAGCTTGTGACAGCACCAGTGCCGTAGCGTACGCTTGGGGCTCAAGATTAGCGCCTTGGCGGCTCTCTTGGCTAAGTCTCAGCAGTGCTTGACCCACCCAAGAACCAGCCAAGATGTCGCTCAAACAAGAAGCGCTGGGCGTTGCCATCCGCCATTGATCAATAATTGTCCATGCTCGACTCCCCCAGAATGCCGTTCCAGCGTCCGAAAACCGCATTGGACTCTCTTCGTATGGGGCCTCTTGGTCACTTTTCTTGGCCTCGACCGCCAAGGGCCAAGGGCCAAGGAGAGGAGATCTCTTCTCCCAAGAGCCCAGCCAGATCTCTGTGACTCTGTCTTGTCTTGTCTCCAGCACCCGGTCCACAGCCTCTCTCGCCCGTATAGTACACCGTACAGTACCATTGGCTCTTGGTCGACTAGTGTCACCTGCGTTTCAAGACTCGATGGGCATTGTGCTCAACCATCTTGGCAGAGAGGCTCTGAGCAGCAGCTGTGCTGTGAGGCAATTGCAATTCCAATTCCAATACCCCCTCAGGCGGCGATGCCATCGAGACGACGCCACCTGGCCTCCATGGTTGCATCCTCGAGAGCGCCGGCTTGGCAGTGCCTCGCCTTGGATGTCCAGAATGGAGGGTGGATCTCTGCTGCTCCAGAGAAACCCATATATGAATGCTCTTGACTGCTCTTCATGGCTTCCTGGCCCTCTTTCCTCTCGTCAGCTGCGCTCATCCATCTTACAGTCTCTTTCCTCGGGAATCTTGGTCTTGTTTCCACTTGTTTCTTTTCTTCTTTCGTTCTTCGATTCTTCCGCTGGTCGTCGCTGGTCGCTTTTCACTATCAAAGCTCTTTCACTCATTTCTGCTTCATTTTCAAGTATCCCTTCAAACATCCAAAGAGTCTGTCAAGATGGTCAAGTACAACATCTTCGCTCTCGCCGGCATGGCCGTGGCCCTCCCCTTGAACATTAACCTTGGCGCCTATTCCCCAGCCTTGGTAGTTGGTACGGTACCCGGACTACTCCATCAACATCGATATTTGCTAACACAGCCCCACAGGTGATGGTGAAATTAGCTTCGGAGGTGGCCAAGACGTGTCAAACTTGATCAACGCTCTCGAGGGTGCCGCCGTCAACGCTGCCAGTGGTGCCGCTACAAACGGCGCCGCTGCTGCCCCGGCTGCTGCTGCTTCTCCCGCCGCCGAGTCTCCCGCCGCCGCCGTTGGAGGCGCCGAGGCTCCTACTACCGCCAACGCGGCGGCCCCAGATGCCGCCCTCCAGGAACAGGTGAGAGACGGTTTATCATCCTCACCATGGCATGGGACTAACACATATTTAAGGCACAGCAAATCGCCGCACTCCAAGGCATGGGCAAGGAGATTGCTCCCCGTGTAGAGGTTGTCGAGACACCTAGCGTTGCCAAGCGAGATCTCGCCGGCTTCGACCGAGCCCTTCAGTTCGCCGAGGTTGCCCTCGGAAAGGGCCCGAAGGTCCAGCTTGGTACTGGCGAGGGCGGTTCAGGCGTCGGTATCATCGTCGACAACAACCAGGAGGCTGCTGCTCGTGCTGGTACCGGCGTTGCTGAGAAGCGCAAGCGCGACCTGGACTCGTCCTCGCCCAAACTCAAGGTGACCACCATGTACGTGCGCTCGGGGATCCCAACTGGTGAGTGGCTCGACTTACACTGAGACTAGCTAGTCTGCTTCCAAGAGCATTAGTATACTGATTCTCTACCCCTCTCAAAAGCTCTCCAGTCCTCCGAAAATAGCGTCGCTGCTCGAAATGTAGCTGCCCCCGCAGTTGCTGCCAGCTCTTCGGCCTCGAGGAGGGATGTCATTGACGCGGTCAACCTAAACGTCGACGGCAACCAAGGGCTTACGATGACTTTCGTCGAGACGGTCGATGACGACGAGGAGTGAAATGTCTGCAGTTCCTTTTTATGACCGACTACTTACACCACCTAAAAAATCCAATTTGTGTTTCGAGGAGCTTTGCCTCAACACCATCTGCATGTCTTTTGGGCGCGAAATATGTTACAGTGCGGCGTGCGAACCTCTTTTTGCTTTACACTACGTGAATCACTTCACGATGTCGGGACTGGCGTTGGAGAACAGGAGGCCCAATGATGGCACAACACAGCGTTTGCAGGGTTATTTCAGGCATAGATAGACCAGAATGGGGGAATATGCCATGTAAATCTTAGTTTGGTCCGGCGCCTTCTGCAAGAAGAAGCAGAGACATCAAAGCATGTAGTCAATCTAATGACTTAATCCTTCTAGAGAGACATTTTCTGGCGTTGAGATGAGAGTGCCCCCCCCCCCCCCCCC